CCTACTCCCTTGCCAGGTTACGGAGCACCAGGTCCAGCCCCAGGGAGAATGTCTGCACTGCTGTTTTCAGTCCCATCGCCAGGCCTGCCAACAGGAGGGGGAGCAAAGGAGGCAACTCTCTTGGGGCTCGGTGATTCAAAAGGGCCCAGGCTCCGGGCCGCTCTTACTGCGGCAGCCAGAACCCCTGGCCCTTTAAATCGCCTACTCCCTTGCCAGGTTACGGAGCACCAGGTCCAGCCCCAGGGAGAATGTCTGCACTGCTGTTTTCAGTCCCATCGCCAGGCCTGCCAACAGGAGGGGGAGCAAAGGAGGCAACTCTCTTGGGGCTCGGTGATTCAAAAGGGCCCAGGCTCCGGGCCGCTCTTACTGCGGCAGCCAGAACCCCTGGCCCTTTAAATCGCCGCTGGAGACCCACGCAGCGCGCGCCGAGTCTTGCTGAAGGACTGGTGGGGGGAGGGTAGCTCCCAACCTTGCCCCTTCCAGGGGTACAGAGCCAGCTCCCTTACCTTGTTCGAGGCCCCAGCCAGTTTGTTGGCCCCTCTGCCCAGAGCCCACGCCCCACAAGCCCGAAGGCATTGACTCAGGCGCTCAGCCCGGGCAGCGTGAGTTTTTCTTTGCCTTGTAGACATACCCTCAGAGTAGGTCCACACGGCGCCTCAGAGCGTTTCTGCTGGTCCTGATAGACAGACTCGTGCGAGCGCCGCTCGTGCTAGCGTGCCAGAAATAACGGTAAGGCTGGTAGCTTAGGCTAGTTCCCAGGGGGTTGGCTTGGGTGGCTGGCCAGAACCACTGCCCAGGTAGCAATGCCCACACTTCTCTTTTTAGCACAGCAGCTCCCACAGAACTAGTGTGAGTGTGTCTACACGGACACGGACGCTTGCTCCCGATACCCTTAAGGGCCAGAGAGTGGCCAGGCCTGCACAGAAACAATAGGAGGAAGAATCCCCCGCCCACCCACTCCCAGACACTCACTCCTGTGCAGCCTTCCTGCATTTCTGCTGGAGGTGAGAGGTGGGGATAACAATTTGCTGGTATGGGCATGTTTACAGCCCTTGGGAGCAAGGCAGGGGAAGGGAAGGTTGCTGCTTAGGCACACAATAGTTAAGCCCCGAATGAATAAAATACAGGCCAAGGGAACTACATTTCCAACCAGTTACCCTTAGCACTTATCTTCTGCTAGGTTATAAGAGTGCCTGCTTATAAAGCCATTCAAGATCTCAAAGAGTAAAATTCACCCTTGTGCTAAGGGAAGGGCAACTAAAATGATTAAGGGTTTGGAATGGGTCCCGTATGAGGCGAGATTAAAGAGACTGGGACTTTTCAGCTTGGAAAAGAGGAGACTAAGGGGGGATATGATCGAGGTCTATAAAATCATGAGTGGTGTGGAGAAAGTGAATAAGGAAAAGTTATTTACTTGTTCCCATAATATAAGAACTAGGGGCCACCTAATGAAACTAATGGGCAGCAGGTTTAAAACAAATAAAAGGAAGTTCTTCTTCACACAGCGCATAGTCAATCTGTGGAACTCCTTGCCTGAGGAGGTGGGGAAGGCTAGCACTATAACAGGGTTTAACAGAGAACTAGATATCCATTTATGGACGTAACCTCCATGAACGTATTAGCCAGTATGGGTAAGGAATGGTGTCCCTAGCCTCTGTTTGTCAGAGGGTGGAGATGGATGGCAGGAGAGAGATGGCTTGATCACTACCTGTTTGATTCACTCCCTCTGGGACACCTGGCATTGGCCACTGTCGAGTACGGGGCTGGATAGACGTTTGTTCTGATCCAGTATGGCCGTTCTTATGTTCTTATGACCAGGGGCGGATGAGAGTGCCGCGGGGCCCAGGGCAGCACCACGGGGCCCCGGGCAGCGAAATTTTGCGGGGCTCCTCCTTTGACACAACGCATGTGCCGTGGTGCCACTGCGCATGCGCGGGGCCTCGGGAAGCGCGGGGCCCGGGGCAGCCACCCCGCTCGCCCTGCCCTAAATCCGCCGCTGCTTATGACTAGTATGAAGTCAAAGAACCACCTCATCCCTGTTTGGACTCACACATGGGCCTTAGGGTACAATTAGTGCAGTGGCCATGAAGAGATAAGTAGACACAGGATGTCAAAGAAAGGTGTGCTTACAAGAAATTCATGGAGTTTATCTTCCGTGGGAACAGGGGTGAGTGCAGCTTCATCCGCTTCAGCTGAATTTGGGTGTTCTGAATGTAAGAGACCTGAGCACTGATCATTCATCTCTGAAAGACATGACGTTCTTAAAGTTATAACGGTGTATTGTTATGCCTGAGTAAGTTAACTTAACTTTGGCTTTTTGTTAAATTCAACACAAATTTTTCTTGTTTTACCCAAGTGTATTTAAATAAACTTTTTAAAAAGATTGTGTCCCAAATACTCCTTCTCTGAATAAAAATCACCCCAACAGAAGTAGCAAGAAACTAACACTAATACTTACTATTCAAGCTTTAACTATCTAACCACACCACTATTTTTTACACCCATCCTATCCATTTCATTAATTTACTCATGCACCAATCTACTAAGCTGTCCTTCTTTTTTAGGGATTTAACAAAAGTACCTCTGTTATTGTTAACCAGGAAACGAGACTCGCGAATGGACTGTTTACAGCATGAGCTGGTTTTTAGCTAGGATTTGTTCTGTTAAGAAAAGGATCCATGAATATTGTCAACCGTCAAAAGAGTCCATAGTGCACAGTAAGTGCATGTAAAAAAATATTGATCAAATTTTCCCATGGGAGATACCATGAAATTTTCAGCCTGGTGAAACAATGATGATTTACAGCAACTATTAATTGTCCCCTTTTAAAACATCATTTAAACTGCTGCAGGGAGGGGTTTCAGCTCTGAGCGTCTGCCATGTTTGCTCGTTTTCACTAAGTGGTCATGAATATGCCACTCAGTCAAGATAGCTCTGGCATGGAAGCTCTTGTACTGGATACCTGTGTGTTCAGAATTTTCTTCCATCACAAGTGGGCCCATACGTTGATCCCTGGAATCATATGGTTCCTTGGCCATTGTTCCAAACACCGCAGGGTCTTGTACACCTAACCATTGCTTCCACTTCTCTCCCAGTTGCCTGCATTGCAGCGATGTTTTCTCGTTCTCGGTAGGAAAGCTGTAAACAATTAGACGAGTACTTAATGATTTCAGGTTGGTTCATGGTTGCCAATTAATCATGACAAACCAGAGGCAGTCAATAAAGATACGTATCAAAGGCTGCGGCAAGTCCTTCTCAGAGGCTGAAGGATGCTTACGTGGGTATGTTTGTGAAAAGAGCAGCAGAATATTGAAGTCAGTAATGCTCCTGGCATGGAGCGTTTGCTTTTCCATTCCAAATGCAGTTAGCAAAGAAATGGCATTTTGTCTTCAGCTCATCTGTTGCTGGATTTTACAGAGCTGAAATCCCCCTCTCTCACCCAGACACCGTGGAAGATTGAAAAAATGAATCAGCACAATCAGGAAAGCAAAAGTATAAGGCCAAATTCTAGCCCAGAATGCCCACATGTTATTCCCATTCAAGTCAACAATGATTTGCTAGATTTCAGTGGATCTGTTATTTTATATGAAAAAATCTAATATAACAAATCTGTGGCCATTTGAACTTCCTTTGTTGGTTACCCATAACTGCTTTGAACTTAACAAGGCCTGGGAGATAGAATTCATACCCACCTACTCTAAATGAATAATACTCTGCTATTAAAGGAGATTCCCCATTAACTGTTAACAGTACAGGTGCCATGACACACAGTTATTAATTTGATTCCACCCAATAGAGAGCAGTGGTACATACTAGCCATTTACTACAAAAACAATGACATACTTTTCCTATCATAGCCATTAGCCTAAAACTAAAAATATCTTTGCTTCTAGGAGTTCATTAGTTATTGGTTAACTACAATATATATATATATATATATAGAGAGAGAGAGAGAGAGAGAGAGAGAGAGAGAGAGAGAGCACTACCCTCCTAACTCGAACTAGGAGGGTAATGTAGGCATACCGCACTTGCAAATGAAGCCCGGGAAATTCAAATCCCGGGCTTCATTTGCAAGTGCGGTATGCCTACATTACCCTCCTAGTTCGAATTAGGAGGGTAGTGTAGACATACCCAGAGAGAGTTATAGTTATAGTTATTATTTCATCTTTTTAAATGTGGACAAAATGGTTTTAGGTGGTCATATAAAGCAGTTAATATCACTAATGCTTAAAATTACAATAGGAAATACATTTCAGAAGATGTATGTGATTTCTTAGCTGAAAACTGTTATTTGGCAATAGAAGATGATTACATAATTGTTTTTATTATTTTTGTTTCCTTTTATAATGATTATAAACAGTGTAAAATGTTCAGATTAAAGCCACTATACAGAATAAAATGTAATAAGTATAATTCTTAAGGATGAAAATTAAGAAAAACCAACAATTGCAAGGGAATGGTATTGATTTTCATAAATTTACAGCAGGATTTAGTCCTGCTGTGTATAAGAATACACATAGTATCTGTTCCAAACCCCACTTATGTCACTAGGAATCTTTCCATTGATTGCCGTGAGCTATGGATCATTCCCCAAGACTTACAGGAGAACGTGGGGGAAATAATATAGGATTTCCTTTGCCGTTAATGTTTTCCTTTTAAAGTGGGGCACCGTGGGTGCAACATTTCCTGCTTGGATGAGGCTCTTGGGGTAGTTTTGAGGAAGGGTAAGATTCTTTCCAAATGATCGAATATTGCTAGGTGTTTTAAAGGTGCCTAGCACACACATAACACGTTTCAGCGATGAAAGCAGAAAGCTTATGCAGTCAGATACCACAGGGAATTCTTCACACGTACTGGAACGTAGCATTCAGCAACCAACCCGATCCACTCATGTAATCTCAGGATTTCCTTGTTACTTTTGGGGAGTTTGAAACATTATTTTAATGTCGCCTTAACTTTGTACGTGTTGCTCCGCTGCGCGCCCCCACAGCTCTGAGTCAGTATTAGAGAATGCCAATTTCTTTTATAAGAACATAAGAACGGCCAGAATGCGTCAGATCAAAGGTCCATCTAGCTCAGTCTCCTGTCTGCCAACAGTGGCCAATACCAGACGCCTCAGAGGGAGGGATCACAGCAGGTAATTAATTATTATCCTGATCGGTATGAAATATCAATGCACCTGCACTGTTGAACAGATAGCATACTCACCCTTCCGCGTCCTTACCTGTGAAACGGATCAGTGTACAACAATGAAGCCCCAGTTCAGTTACATTTTGTGCCCCACCAGGCCCTGTCTGCTATAGACTCGGACTAATATTCACTCTTCCACAATGAGCAAACTCGTCAGCAATAAGAAGCGAGAGTCCAGCCAAGAAACCTTTCTAACGATTCCTGTGACTTGTAATCAATAACAACATGAATTATAGATCAGTTTCATGCAGAGATTTATTTGAAAGCCTTTCCCTCTGGGAAGCTAAGCAAATGCACAGCACAGACTCACCAGCTTGCTATACTGGCTCTTAGCACAGGTTGTGCCCTCCTAAACCAGGACTCTCTGGTCCAGCAACAACCATGGTCCAGCAGTATCATGGATAGTCCTGGACTAGAGAGCCCAGGGGCAGGGAGGACTGGGAGTGCAGCCAGGATCCAGGCGGGGGGGTGGGGGCAGTGACATAGCCAGGAGCCCCATTGCAGAAGGGCCCAGCAGCATAGATGGGAACCCCGCGACGGGCAGGGGGAGTGAAGGGAGAGCTGGTGTCTGGCAAGCACAGCCAGATCTGGCAGCACAGTTATTCCCTAGATTTTAACGTTAAGGGTGCGTCTACACGGCGGGGCTTAACGCAAAATAAGCAACGCAAATTGAGCTACGTCAATTGCGTAGCTTATTTTGAACCAGCTCATTTCGAAATTGGCAGTGTCCACACAGCACTTATTTCGAAATCGAGCACTCTTCCTCCGACTTCCCTTACTCCTCCTACAATGAGGGATACAGGAGTCGGAGTAAGAAGTCCTCCGGCTTGACAGGATTTCAACATTATTTCGAAATAACGTTGCTGTGTCGATGTACCCTAAGCAGGGGCAGATGACCATTTTGCAGGGCCCAGGGCAGCACAATTTCGCGGGGCCCCCCTTTGGCATGGTGCATGCGCGGGGCTTCTTGAAGCGCGGGGCCCGGGGCGGCTGCCCCGCTCGCCGTGCCCTATATCCGCCCCTGACCCTAAGGCTCAGGTTTACCATATTCTGTTGAAAACTCTGAAATGTGTGATCTAACCAAGCAGCTAGAAATCAGTCCATCTTCCACCTAAGTCAATGGGAATCTTTCCTTGGACGTCAGGAAGAGTTGCTGTAGAGTCCCCTGAAAACGGGAGAGCTGGCTGACATTTGCCCAGTAAACTAGGAGGCTTTGCCAAAAATCGCAATATTTCACACAAAAATTACAATGGAAATGGTTTGATTTTTCAGAGGGTAAATTCAAAACAAAATGTACTGCCCTCTAGTCACCATACTGAAATGCTGAAAATATCACCAGCGTAGAAAAGATTTTGTTCTCGTAGGCAATGTCAAACCTTTTCATTTCAACATTTTGGAATCCACATTTTTCTGAACTCTTCATTCCTAGTGTGTTTCCAGCATTTTAGGTTGCCCCCCGTTTTGGCATGAAAACCAAATCGCAAACTGTCTGAATTTCCCACTGACTGGAAATTTCATTCCAGCTTTGCTGAATAGATGCGCCACGTCGGAGTGTCCATAAAAACCTTCCACCTCATCTAAATAACCCTAGCGATTGACAACCAATAACTCACCGTCTTCTGAACACATGTTATGTACCTGCCCACACCCCCCAGCTGTTGTTATAGCCATTTTCAACAGGTTGGTGAAAGTAATGGTGAGCTTCTAATATGGGGCACAGGTGTGAAATGCACCCGAGAGCAGGCAGCTATCACAAGATCCATGTGATCTGCCCCAGCAGCAGTGAAGTTGTCCCCTGCTCTACGTCTCTGCCAGTGCCTTCCCGACACAGGTAGCTACACACCACCAAGTGGACACATGTGCTTTCACTGCGGCGATGTCTACATGAGGAAATTATTATCACTCCTGTTTTAACAAAATTGAGCTAGCATGTCCACACTACGGGGAAGCCTCGAAATCAGTCCAAGGCAGGCTTCTTTAGTGTGGAGCCCGAGGAATCACTGTAGAGTCATTAGTTCGAATGACTCTGGAGAGTAATTATTTCAAAATTACGGCACTGGAATGTCCACACCACCGCTATTTTGAAATAACTATTTCAGAATTAGCGTTACTCCTGATGAAAAGCTGGAGTACAGATTTTGAATTAAGCGGCCCGTTATTTTGAAGTAACGGGGTTGGTAGTGCGGATGCTCCGCTTATAAATTCGTCCCAGGAGGGTGATTTCGAAAAAAAGCCCTAGTGTAAACCAGGGCTGGGGGATGTAGCTGCTACACGTTGCCAGAAGTGATGTGTAGTGTAGATGTAGACTGTAAGCAGGGGCGGATATAGGGCAGGGCGAACGGGGCGGCCGCCCCGGGCCCCGCGCTTCAGAAAGCCCCGCGCATGCGCCGTGGCAAAGGGGGGGATCCCGCGGAATTATGCTGCCCGGGACCCCGCAAAACGGTCATCTGCCCCTGCCTGTAAGTCTAAGACAAAAGTTAGCAGCTTAGACAGGGAAAGCGCAGGGAAACAATGAAACTATCGTCAGCCTGAAAGGCACCAGGCTCAGCACCTCGGCTGCCAAGACCCGGTTATACCCCTCACTCCCGAGTCTCAATGCTTTGCTTTAACCAGTGGTCAGTTATCTGGGATATAGCAGCCGACATCCTTTCCCCCAGCTGATTGGATCAGTAACCATAACTGTAAAAAAGAATTTAAAAGCTATTACTCACCTCTTGTATTTCCTGCTGTGTGTATTATTTAACTGGGCACAGCTCTCTCCATCCTTTGTCAGAACAGGTCTCTGTGAGCATGCTGTAGCTTCTGCCAGCATGGAGGATAGTGCTGGACTAGAAATGGTCCCAGTCTTCTCCTTCTTTATTGCTTTTTCAAGGTCTGCCGAGCCGTTTGTGAACTAAAAGGAACAGGGCAATGCATAAAAATTTACCTGGGCTTCTTCAACAAGCGTTGATTCTGATTTCAGTCATTTTCCATTCCAAGAGACAGCTGTAACCTCTAGTCCCTGCCTCTTACAGGCTGAAAGAATCCTAGAATCCTAGAACACTAGAACTGGAAGGGACCTCGAGAAATCATCGAGTCCAGTCTCCTGCCCTCACGGCAGGACCAAGCACCATCTAGACCATCCCTGACAGGTGTCTGTCTAACCCACTCTTAAATATCTTCAGTGATGGAGATTCCACAACTACCCTAAGCAATTTTCTTCCAGTGTTTGACCACCCGGACAGCTCGGAAGTGTTTCCTAATGTCCAACCTACATCTCCTTTGCTGCAGTTTACGCCCATTGCTTCTTGTCGTATCCTCAGTGGCCAAGGAGAACAATTTTTCTCCCTTCTTCTTGTGACACCCTTTTAGGTACTTGTAAACCACTCTGTCTTCTCTTTTCCAGACTAATTAAACCCAGGTCTTTCAGTCTTCCCTCGTAGCTCATGTTTTCTAGACCATTAATCATTTTTGTTGCTCTTCTCTGGACCCTCTCCAATTTCTCCGCTTCTTTGTTTAACCAGTAAATAACCAGTAAATTCCCATTGGCTTTCAGGCGAGCAAGATTATGCCAACTCTGAATGCTTTGGAAAATTCTACCCCATATAGGGCCAAACTTTACAGCATAAAGCTGCATTCCCTGAAGATAGGGGTGTGACTCTTGAGATGAATCCTGAACTCTTTTCGGCAGGTGTGGAGGCTCCCTTTCTACTGGGGAACCCCCCGGTCTTGCTGTATAAAGGGGGATATTTCAGGAGCCCGCTGACAGGGGAGTTTATCCTCAGTATTGGGGCTGTTTGGGAGTGGAGCCCAGGCAGCGCCTTGTGCAAAGCTGCTATTACCACAGCCAGATTCTGCCAGACTGGCTGGCGGAGTACACGCAATATAAAGACCCACCTTAGGTCAGCGGTTTTCAAAAAAAAATTCTCACAATCCAGTTGGAGAAAATAGTTTGCCTGTGACTCAGCATAATTAGATCTTTTGACTAGAGAGCGGGGTCCCGGGTCAGGCTGGGGATGAGGGGTTTGGGTGCAGGAGGTGGCTCCGGGATGGGTTGGAGGATAGAGACATGGGGTTGGGTTGCAGGCTTACCTCCAGTGGCTCCCGATCAGCAGAGCAGCAGGGGTGGTAATGCAGGCTCCCCGCTTGTCCTGGCACCCTGGCCCGCTCTGCTCCCTGGAAGTGGCCAGCAGCAGGTCCGGCTCCTAGGCAGAAGCCCTGGAAGCGGTTCTGTGTGTTTCTCTTGGAGGTGGGGCTCGCAGCAGTGTGTGGAGCCCCGTGGCCCCCCTACCTGGGAGCCAGACCTGCTGCTGGCCTCTTCTGGGATGCAGCGTGGTCCAAGGTGCCAGGACGGGTAGGGAGCTGGCTTTAGCATCCCCTCTCTCACCTGGTCCCCCTGCAGCCAGGCTACCCAGTGCCTGACATCCTGTGACCCAATCCCGAGTCGCGGCCCGTACTTCGAAACCCCCCGGCTCTAGATTATGAGGAGGACTCACAGTCACTTGTTCTAATGTTCTTGTGCTGAAAGGCTAAAACATGTATCCCCTACGCCTATGGCGTGTACATCCCAGCTCTGGGGGACAGAGCATTTATAGGCTGATGGGTCGCCAGGGGGGAATGAAATGCACTCCCGCAAGTCCTCCAGTGCAGCTTATACCAACTCTGCACACACAAAAAGGCAAGTAATTTTTTTAATGGGCAAGTAAAATATCATTCCTCTTTTTCTTTAGGAGCCAATACCGTAGCAATGTTTCCCATTGCTTTACCTTCATTACTGCAGTTAATAAGATGCCAGACTTGTGGCTTTTCTCTGCCTGTAATGCCCCCAAATCTGCCAGTGTTAAATGTTATTGTAGCCTTTAAAGGGCTCTATTAACCTGTGGCCCTCCAGTCAACCCATGCAGCTCCCGCTGGAGTTGTGCTGTCGACTGCTGCATCAGTAAGATTTCTCTCTGCTGTTTTAATAGCAGCTTTCTCTCCTGGTGAGCTGCCCTGTAGATATTTCGCAGGTGCTGGATTTCTGCCTGCACAGAACAGAGAATGGAAGAGGGGGAGTAGAAGTTCCCGTTAATAGGTAGCAGGTTTAGAACAAACCAAAGGAAGTCTTTCTTCACACAGCGCACAGTCAACCTGTGGAACTCCTTGCCAAAGGTTGTCGTGAAGATCAGGACTTTAACAGGCTTCAAAAAAGAACTAGATAAATTCATGGCGGTTAGGTCCATTGACACTTATTAGCAGGGCTCGACAAATAATGCAATCTACTCGCCCGTGGCGAGTAAATTGCAACCTGGAAGAGCCGGGTTTGGGCGATCTCTGCATGCGCAGATTGCTGGACAGTGCAGCTGGCGAGTGGGGCTTGCCGTGGTTCGGCGAGCACTGGTTATTTACATAGCTGGAATTGCGTAACGCAGGCCAAACATCCCCCATAGTGTAGACCAGATAATGGGTGACAGGGAGGGATCACCTGATAATTCCCTGTTCTGTTCACTGCCTCTGGGGCATCTGGCATTGGCCAGTGTTGGCAGACAGGACCCTGGGCAAGAGGGGCCTTTGGTCTGACCCAGTCTGGCCGTTCTTATGTCCCATTAAAATATAAATACACATGAAAATGGCCGACAGATCAGTTTATAACATTTAATAGCAGGTGGAAATATTGCAATTCAAGTGCAATTTGGGGATTCAATATAGATAGCCAGGGCTCGACAGATCCACTTATCTACTCGCCCGTGGCGAGTAGATTTCAGCCAGTCACCCTGTTCACCGGCGGTTCGCGCATGCGCAGTGCGGGTCTCGTGCAAGTGAGCTGCGCAGCTGGCAAGGGGTTTTCACCGTGATCGTCGAGCCCTGTAAACAGCAGCTCTGTCTACATTGGCAAGATTTTGCGCAAAATCTTGCCACCTGTCTACACTGGCCACGAGAATTTGTGCAAGAACACTGACTTTGTAATGTACAAAATCAGTGGTTCTTGCGCAAATACTGCAACGCTCCCGCTCAGGGATAAGCCCTCTTGCGCAAGTATTCTTGCACAAGAAGGCCAGTGTAGACAGCCATATTAATTTATTGCGCAAGAAAGCCCGATGGCTAAAATGGCCATCGGAGCTTTCTTGCACAAGAGAGCGTCTACACTGGCACGGATACTTTTGCACAAAAGATGTCTTTTGCGCAAAAGCCTCCATGCCAGTGTAGATGCTCTTTTGCGCAAATACTTTTAACAGAAAAACTTTTCCGTTAAAAGTATTTGTGCAAAATCATGCCAGTCTAGACGCAGCCAGCTAGTTTAGGTACATTTCTGTGTACAATTTTTTCAGTCTTTGCTTAAGCAACACTTGCTGACTTGTGCCCAAGCTGTGAGGCTGCAGACAAACAGGTAAAGGATGTGTTTCATAGAGTTATTAGCAAGTGACAAACTGCTAGGTTTGCCAGGTGTCCGGTTTTGAACCAGACAGTCCAGTATTAGAGCTTTCTATCTGGGAAACAAATTGAGAAAATATAAATGAGAAAATATAAATGTCTGGTATTTTCTAAATAAGATGGAATGTAGATTGTGATGTTATGTCAACTGTGTCCAGTATTTTTGTTGAAACTATCTGGCAACCCTACAAATTGCTCTGAGGTTTGATGGGAGCATGTGCAGAGAAAATTGAGGGGGCAGAAAGAGTGGAGAGCAAAGTCTAGTAGTGTATGTGTGCCAGAAACTCTGTGCTTCAAACTCTTCGGCACTGACAACCACTGTCCACTCGGGCCTGATTTTCCAAGGTCTGAGAATGTATAGATCCTGTTTCAACCAGCATGCGCACAAATGCTCAACGCGGTAGCATCAAAGGGAACCAGAAGAAAGAAGATCAGGTTTTAGGAGGGATGTAATTTGGTGCGACACCAGGCCCAGGTGAGCAAGGTGGGCCTCGTTGCTATTAAATACATACTCGCTCAGTACAGATCTCAGTCCTACAACTCTATCTCACTGCAACACGCACTGCTAATGAGCCAAGCACCTCTGAAAGTCGGGCATAAGGCTCAAGTTTTCAAAGGTGACTCCTAATTTGGGATAACTTGCCTGTTGCTTGCTCAAGTGGAGAGAAACCTGGGCTTAGTTTTCACACGGGCTGGGCTCCGACAACTCCAAGGGAAGCCATCGGGGCGGTGGATGCTCAAGTTGCTTTACAAATCAGACCCCTTCAAGATGTCTAAGGTTAGGCAGGTTCCCAAAATTAGAAGCCATTTGTGAAAATCTGACTGCATGGGACTTGGCCAGAGTTGCAGAGGAATGTAGGGCTGAGTCAGGAATAGAATTGAAAGCTCCTGACTCCCATGCCTGTGTTTTTAGCCAAAGACCATCTTTCCCACTCCTGCAAATACCATCATGAAAACTTCACCCCCAAATCACTAGCAGTTGGCTAATTTCCTATAGCTCAATGATGGAAGCCCAAACACCCTATACAATCTGGTGTATACACTAAGAATAAATAACTGCAGTAACACCAGAGCTGCAGAAAGACAAGGTGTTTCCTGCCTCTCTAAAGTGTATATCGTACAGCCCACGTATAAAAATCAGCACCAATGAAGTAGACTGTAAAGTCTGTGCAGCAACACGATGTACTTCTTTAGTACTGTCCAACAGGTTCTCATTAGCTTACGAAGGAAACTGGATTATGTAACTGGAACAGAGTCATAGAATCATAGAAGATTAGAGTTCAAAGAGGCCTCCGGCGGTCTAGGGTTGCCAGATGGTTTAACCCAAAATACCTGCCCACCTCCTCCCCATACTGTGCTGCCCAATGCAGAGGTCTGAGAGGTCTCACCTGTTCTTTGTTCAGCTTGGTTAGGATTTTATGCTGCTTCTCAGCTATGGCAGACACTTCCTCACGGTCTCGCAGACCATCCAGACAGCTGAAAGCAGGAGGGAGACCAAAATCGCTTTCAGAAGGACGTTTGGACGTGTGAACGCAATGCCCATGCAAGGGGTCCCCGTTAGGGATATAATGGTATAGTCGATTATCCAGTAAGCCAAAGCGTATAGGTTGATGCGTTCCCACCCCCCACGCCCTGGCACTGGTACATTTTTTAGCAGGCTGGCCAGCAGCCTGGCTCAGTCCCGGCTTGTGACGGGTCCAGGACCTACCCGCACTGCGGCTCTGTATTTCAAGCGTTACGAGGAGGTAGGAGGGCAAGCAGCCTGGCTCAGTTCCAGCTCATGCCAGGTCCAAGAGCTCAGACACCCCCCACTCCAGACAGGGGCTGCTGCCACCCCCGTATCAGAGGGAGCAGCCAGGGGGGGCGGCAAAGCCGTGAAGAGAGCTGGTTTTCCAACGGGCTCCCCTCGTGGACCAGTTCCCGCCTGGCACTCTGTGTTGCTGCCTCTGATACAGAAGCAGCAGTGTGGGGCGACAGGGGGCTCCTCGGGAGTGGGGCTGGGGCGCACTGGCTGCCAGCCCCACCCAGGGACTATAGACGGGTCAAGCAACCGATAAGAATTCGTGAGGTTACTCGACTATTCGATTCCCCGATATTGAACATCCCTAGTCCCCATGACAGGGCTGGAGCCGGGGGTGATGCCTTCATCCCCCAACAGGGTCATCAGCGCACAGTTCGCCCAAATCTCAGCTCTCGCTGGAGAACGAGGAGGAACTTCGATATTCTCCACCCCTTTCGCCCTGGAGCTCTCTGCAAGGTGGCCACATGTCCAGGAGCACCCAGCATGGCAGCTCCTGAGGCTCCTCCCCCCCTTGCGCAAGGCCGTTACACCTATTACTTGAGAGGAAGAACGGCCTTGCACAAGAGGGTTGTTCTTGCGCATGAAGGGGCAGTGTAGACGCTCCTTCTTGCGCAAGAACCTCTTCTGAAAAAAATGGTGGCTCATTAGGTATGCAAATGAGGCTCAGCGATATTCCACGCTTAGCCTCATTTGCATATTACTCGCGCAAGAAGCCACGAGTGTAGACATAGCCTTGCTGTGAGGAGCCAAGCCACAGGGAAGCGCTGAGCTCAGTGGTCCCTAACCGTTTCGGGCTGCCAGGCGGCCGGGGGCGGAGCCACCCACGGCGGGCACCGCGTTGGGGACCACTGGCTTAGCTGGAGAAAAGCCAGGCTTTGGATGTGGCTGAAAGCAACGGGGCCTTTTCCCTTTGCTGCGGCCGTGGGGAAGCCCGGCCGTACCTGACGTCGCCCTGGAGAGGTGCAGGATGTTTGCTTCTCTGCTTTTCCACGGGCGCCAAGAGGCGCAAAGCTCCGCAGAGAGCCCTCCCGCCGTGTTCTGACGGGCCTGTTGCCGTCGGACGGCGGGTTTGCCAGGCACTGAAGCCAGGGCAACATGCACAAAACGGACTCACCTTTTTCGATGCTCCAGCCAGGCCAGCTCTGCCTTGGTTTTCTCCTGAAGAGCTTTTTCCCGGAGTCGAAGGAGGGCGCTACGGTGCCGGGCTCGTAGTTCTTCTTCCTTCAAGTACTGCTCGGCCATGGTCAGACTAAACCGGCCAAAGGCGCTGGACCCTCCATAGAACTGACCAACTTTGCTCCACTGAGGGCAGAAGCAGAGGGCGGGAGGCATGAGGGGGAACGGGTGGATGTCCCACCAGCCTGGCACTGCAACTAGAAGCCCCCTGGTGACTCCATGTGCCGCCACTAGCAGGAGAGACGCTCCGGGGCCCACGTACCTGGCTCGTGGAGTCCGTTTTTTCACTGCCGTCTCCCGAGTCGTCGGCTGTGAGCGCCTCGCAGGGGGGGTGATTGGCTGATGAAGACGAGGACTGACGTGTGTGCAGAGTGTGACCACCCTTCGCAGACGGGGATCCTGAAGAAAGGGAGCAGCACGGTCACTGTGAGTAAGGGTCTGTCTACACTACCACCCTCGTTCGAACTAGGGTGGTTAATGTAGGCAACCGGAGTTGCAAATGAAGCCCGGGATTTGAATTTCCCGGGCTTCATTTGCATCTTGCCGGGCGCCGCCATTTTTAAATCCCCGCTAGTGCAGACTCTGTGCCCGCGGCTACACGCGGCACGGACTAGGTAGTTGGAATTAGGCTTTCTACGAGGTGTACCGGGAGTTCGAATTAGAAAGCCGAATTGGAACTACCTACTCCATGCCATGTGTAGCCGCGGGCACGGAGTCGGCACTAATGGGGATTTAAAAATGGCGGCGCCTGGCAAGATGCAAATGAAGCCCGGGATATTTAAATCCTGGGCTTCATTTGCAACTTCGAATGCCTACATTAATCACCCTAGTTCGAACTAGGGAGGTAGTGTAGACATACCCAGGGAGAGGAACAAAGGAAGGTGGATGCCACCCCTGGCTGGGGGGCAGGGCTGGAAGGGACGGTCTTTTAGTTGCTGTCTGGGATCATGGAGGAGACAGCCTAGGGAAGGGGCTGGAATTTAGGGGCCCAGTCTCCCCCATCTCAAGGGGGGCTGAGGCTTCCTAGGCCTGCCCTGGAACCAGATTACATCTGTGCTGGGCTGTATCTTGGAGAAGCAATAAACTCCCTCTGTTCTACTGGCTGGGGGAGTCTGTCCATGCCAGTACGGGGGTGCAGGAGGCGGGGGACCCCGACGCGCCGCCACACCCCGTGTCTACACGTCATCGCGCGGCTGTAAAAAGGGAAGGGTCACGCTAAGCAACTTCGCGTTCTAATGTGCTTCCCGGAGTGGAGCGGCTGCCCCACTCTGGCCAGAAGGGGTTAAAGCAGCCGGAGGGAGTGCAGTGCAGAGCCCTGGCCAGTCGGGGAGGGGCTTAAAAGGAGCCAATCAGAGAGCAGCTTGCAGGAGCAGCCCTGTTTATAAGGCGCTGCTTAGCAGAGCCCTGGGTAGTGTGGGGCTGATCAGGGAAGGGGCAGGGCTGGGTCTGCTCTGGATGGAGCAGAGCGAGAGAGGCTCCACCCTGATACCTGCCCGGCTGCAGGCCTGGATACAGGGGCCAGGAGGGTGCAGGGTCACAGAGGAAGTGGCCCGGGGAATGGGAGGACCGTAGAGGGCAGGGCTGCTGCCAGGGGGACCCTGGCTGGGACTCTCAGAAGTGGGCAGGCCTGGGTCGCCCTCTTCTCCCATAGACCACCAAGAACGGTGGCCAATACAGACTGCAGCTTGCCCCTGAGTGGAGCTGCTAGACCCGGGGTGGGGAACCTTTTTAGGGTTGGGGGTGGTTGCGCCACAGAAAAATCAGCCAGGGGCCGCACACAAGTGAGAAGCAAAAAAAACCCCTCATTGATGTGGCCCCCAACTGAGGGGGCCCCACGTTCCCCTTGCCCACCAGAGCCTCGGAGGACCCAGCCTAGTAGATGTTGGGGGCTCTAGCCCTGCGGTGGGGCAGCAGGGGGGCTAGAGCACCGATGCAGGCTCCCCAATGCTGGGGGGGTTCTGAGTCGATCCAGGCAAGGGGGCGGGGAGTGCACCTGGCCCCTAGGCCTGAGGTTCCCCACCCCTGTGCTAGACCCTGGCTGCGGTTGGCCACAGTAGAAGGGGTGGAGACTGAGGACTGTTGATACCCCAGAAGGGGGTGTGAGACCGGTGTGGTGGGCAGTACTGGAAGGCAGTGTCCCGAAGAAGACGCCAGGATCCTGGGAATGATGCAAGTCCAGAGCAGAGTGTGGGGAGAGTGCAGAAAATGATGGGTGAGACACTGGCCGGTAGGGGGTGCCCTGCTGAGGCATAAGCAAATTCCCAAGGTGACCAGCAGGAGGCGCTGGGGCGGTAAGTCTCCATGCTGCTTCCCTTCCAAGTAGATCAGTTCACAGCAGTGTAGGCAATTTAGCTTCCGTTCCAAAATACCAGACAATCTGAGCACAGGCCCAGAGGCCCGCTACACATTCATGTTTCGTAATCCCTGCTTTGACATTGACTCCTCCTGTGACCTTAGGAAAGTCACTTAATCTTGTCTGTCTCTGATGCCACTGCTGTTACATCAATAAGGTTAATGACACCAGCTGACTCAACTCTGGGGGTGTTCTCGGGGTTAATATCTGCAGAGTGATTACAGGATCTGAAGATACTGTTCTGACTATTCGTCTGTAGGGCGAGTTAAATTATTTGGGACAAAAATGTCAAAGGTGCAGTGAGAAATTTGATGAAATCTCTGCTCAGTGGCCCAACCCGAAAATGCTCCTCCATTTCTCATGCTGCCATCAGGCACCTATAGATTTGCCCCCCAAATCCCACTAAACCACCTAACTGGATAGTCACCTCGCTGCTGGATTGAGGAATCCAGGTTCACTTCCCCAGTGGATTTTCTCGCCGTGGCTTTTATGGCATCCATCACGTTGCAGCTGATTTCAGTGTTCCATGCAGATTGTTTTGGAGACAGTGTCCTAAAGCTACCAGCAAGGTGGGGGAGGAGAAACATATTTGTACATGCTATTTTGGTGTATTAGCTGCCAGGGATAGTGATACCCGGCTCTTACAGAGCCCTCTTCCTCACTTAATCACAAGTATCTTTCATAACAGCCGGGTAGGGCTATTTATTCCGTAGTGGAACTTCTGTATCTGAAAAGCATTTTTCTGGGGCTTAGTGGGAGCTTGGGGCCAGTTCTCAAGTACTTTGATTATGCCACTTTAAATGAGAGATAAAATGGGCGCTTAGAGCCATGCTCATTCATGCGAGGTGGGCAACCTGTGGGTTCTGTGTGTGGCCCACAAGACATTTCGTTACCGTTGCCCACGCCCAGCGTTGCCACGTTCGGCTGGTTTCCTCCCGTGTTGGTTTTTTCCTAGCGGTACGTGTATTACAAAAGTGACACCCACGTACAACAAGGGCAAGTGTGGTGAGGTGCGGGCTGATGGCACACAACAGTGCCGGTGAGAGCCGGGTGCTCCCTCTGCGTCCAATGCCAGCGCTGCTGCGGTTCCACTGGCGCACCCCGCACGTTCTAGGGACGCCAGCGCTGTTACCAACACGGCCCTGTCCCGGGAGACCGCCTTGCTTCCGACAATCCTGCGGCCCCCTAAGATGAAGGGGGGCCACTCGTGTGGCCCACTCACTACTCTACCGCAGGGAGGGGCAATCTAGGCGAGGGTTTAACGCCCACGATCCACACGGCTCGTCGAAATGGACACTCCTCTGCAGCAGGGAGCAGGGTCTGGTTTGTCCAAGAAACCTGACGGTAAATCAAAGGAACCGAGGAACTGCTCCTGTTCACCCAAATAATGAAGGAGACGGCTGAGCTATGGCTACACGCCAACTTTCCTGTTACAGGAAATACAGCAGAGATCATGGGCGGAGTTGAAACCAGCTGGCCCCTTCCATTCTGCCTGAAGCCTCTTCTGCCGTCCCTCCTCTGCCGGGGCCCAGACACCCCTATTACATGGCCAGTGCCCCCAACCTCAGCTCTGGGCGGGTGGCGGTACAGCCACAGTGCCCTCAAATCCAGCCTTGGCGCGCCAGGTGGGGGACAGACTGCTTGGGACCCTCAGCCTGTAAAAGCCGCTGCATACGGCTGAGATTTTCCCCAACTCCTGAAGGGAAACAAATCAGGCCAGAGGCAGCTTGCGACTGGAGGAAGGCCTGCTGAAAACAGAGAGCTGAAACATCAAAGGGGTTAGGACGCTAATCCCACGGACAGAGCAGCTGCCATGCGAGCTGTTCCCATTGTGACATCGCTTGAAGAACGTAGCGAAACATCTCCGAGGGGTCTCTGGGTTCGTCTGTAACTTTTAAAACAACATGGGGCCCTGTGGGGCCATAGAGCCTAACCAAAACATAGAGACTCATGAGCTCTCGTGGGCAAAAGCAGCTCATCGTCTGAGGAAGGGGGTTTGCCCATGAAAACTCATGGTCCTATATATTTGTTAGTCTCTAAGGGTACGTCTAGACTACATGGCTCCGTCGACGGAGGTCGATAAAGGGCTTTCAGGTCAGCGCAGGAGTGTCCAGACTAGCGCGCTGAGCCGACAAACAGCTGATCAGCTGTATGTCGGCTCAGCGCGGCAGCCATTTAAATTTAAATGAAGCCGCGATTATTTAAATCACAGCTTCATTTCCCTCTGCCGATCAGCCTAATTTATATGGCTCCATCGATGGAGCCATGTAGTTTAGACACACCCTAAGGTGCCACAGGACTCCTCGTTATAGCAAAATACGTTACTGATGCACAGTTTGTCTATGTGTATCCCACTCACCTGCTGGGGGTGGCTCTGTCCCGGGGAGCGGCACTTAGACCACTTACAGAGAGCGAGAGACTCAGTCTGCTCTGCAGCCTTAGCTAAGTGCCAGCTGGCTTTTAGCTCAAGCTGCAGAGGCTCCTGCACTAAGTTCCCAAGGTCCCACGTTCGATTCCACCTGTCAGTGTTACGTGTGCATAGTCTGAACACTCCAAAGCCTTGCAGCCCTGAACTTGAACAAATCATAGGGTACACCGACCAAGCGCCCCATTACGCATCGCTTCCTGTACCTGACCCCAGCTGGATCATTTCTTTCAGGAGCACCTTCAAATTGATATTCTCGCTGGTCTTGCTTAGTGTGCTTCAGGCTTGCTCTCGCAGGACAGCTGGCACGGGAGCCATTCAACCCCTGTAAAAACCAAATGACCCCCCAATGGCAATGAGTGATCTTTACTAAAAGTGCCACCTTTCAGCCCGTTCTGTACTTCTCATGGACTGGAAGCTGGGTTTATAGAGCGCCTTTAGTGGTCCACTTACCCCTAAAGAGTTGTAGTAACTAATGAGTTAGCTTTGGTTGAGAACCACTGATCTATGTGTATCCTTGGGGGTCCACAGAGGTTTTCCAGGGGATACATCAGCTACTCTAGATATTTGCCTAGGCTTACAACAGGCTACATATAAGGCACTAGCAAAGTCAGTCCAAACTAAAATTTCATACAATGTCTTGTTTACACTGCTCTAAACACAATATACTGAAACGTAAGTACAACACTTATATTCCAATTGATTTATTTTATAATTATATGTTTCAAAAATGAGAGAGTCGGCCATTTTTCCATCTCCGAGGGGTCACTGTGTTAGTCTGTAATTTTAAAAACAACAAGTAGTCCTGGGGCACCTTAGGCCTGGTCTACACGAGGGATGTAAGCGACTAGTCGATTATCGGATAAACATAAGCTTATTAGATAGTTGACTAGTGATGCAACTAGTAGCTTCCCCTCCTTTGCTGCCTCAGTTCTATCAAAGAGAGGCAGCAATGGGGGTGAGCAGGAGCTGGTACTGGGGCGCAGCAGGGAAACAGAGCGAGCAGAACTGAAGCGTCCCCACTCACGCTGGTTCCCACTGTGGCCACATCAGCCTTTGAAATGTACCAGGGGCCGGAGGGGCTCTTGTACATTTCAAAGGCTGAAGCGCTGCAGTGGCAACACT